CAAGCAGTAGCTGGCCAAAAGTGCTCACTCACGTGCTGGGAGCAGCTTACATCCTAGAGGCTGTGCGTGAACAACCCAGGAGTGGGGGGTTCTCACAGCAGAGCAGAGTAAGGCTGGCTCCCAGAGTCGAAGATTGGAGTGACCTAGTGGATCACCGGTCCAGATAACAGCAGGGTAATGTCAGACCTACTCCCAACGGTTTCTTTAACAAGAAAGGCACCATGGTCAGCCTGTGCTGGCTTAAGCTACTGTGCAAACTTCAGAAGCTTGTATCTCAAACGCTCTGCCACACTTTGACCTTCTGTAGTGCTTGCTAGTGATCAGCAAAACCATCTCATCCATATGATATAACCCAGTTGAACTTTCTCTGTAGTCTTTTATCTGTAACTGAGCCATTCCATATACATAATGAAATCAAATGAAAAGTTGCTCTTGGTCAATTAATACTGTATGTTTCATATAAACACTTTCCTATTTATTAATTTCTGTTGCACTGCCTAGATAGAAACTGAGTGTACTAAGAAAGCAAAGAACAGAAGAGGGTTTAGTAACGTTTACTTGTACCCCTTTTGGGAAATGTGTTGTGTGCTATTTCTGATTTGTGCAGGGTAAGTACAATCCCATGACATCACCTTTAAAAATGGCTGTGAGCCACATGCTGATACTGCCAAAGAAAACTGGCCAAGATTTTTGAACCAGGGAGCTGGCACAAAGATTACAAGGTAAAACAAATGTCTGATCCTCAGTGTTCACATACAGGGAAGCCAAGTTTGACAAAGACAGCTGTGATAACAGTTTTCTTTCTTAGCCCTGTGGATTGCTGTTGCATATACCTATGTTTTCTCTCCCTTTCTATGTCTCTCTTCTCCTTTGTTGTCTCCTGTGTATTTGTGATTCATTATTTTCATTCTCATTCCTTTCTCCCCTCTTTTTCTTTATCAATTTTCTTTCCTTCTGCGCTTGTCTCAAAGTTATTTTCCCTTCTGTCTCTCCTGCACATCCTTCTCTCTCTCTCTGCAGTTACCCACCTTGTCTCTGCTTCTCTATCTTCCAGCCCCAGCCGCATTTTTCTCTCCTTTCCCTCCGTCTCTCCTTTCCCCTAGTTCACTGCCCTATCTTTGCTTTCTCTTCTCCTCCCCCCTCCCATCTCCTTTCTCCTCTCTTCCTGGTGCATAACTGGCAATTTGCATACATTTTACCAGGGAGAATTATTTTAATAAGCAGGAGGTCTGGAGGCTGTTAGGGCACCCAGCTGATGGACAGTTCTGCAGGTGCTCTGGTGAATTTTAGGTTATTTTCTTTTTAAAAGGGAAGAGGGGGAAATAAAAATGCCCATAACCCCTATCCCAAGTGATGCCCAGATCACCTGTTGATTGAAAAACCATCCCTAGAAAATAAAGGCTGGTCTCCTGTATAGCCTCATAGCTCTCATTTGCAGCTTCCTTCTTTCTCTCCATGGCTTGTACCATTTCTCCATGGCAACTGACTCCTTTTTCCCCTTTAAATCTGGCTCTTGACTCCCACAAATGAATTGTCAAATAAGGGCACAGTATTGGTGCCTTCAGTTCCACTAGAATGGTTCTAGTGGGATGGAGTGGGGTAGGGAGGATCCTCACCCTCTTGATCTTTGGGGGCATACTCCTGTTAAAAGTTGCATTTACAGCCCTACTCTAAGTGTAACTGAGGACCCGTGTGCCATCCAGCTGCACCACAGATCAGGAGAAGCACAGAGGTGATGATTTCTCTAGCTGTATTCTCTTGAGTAGAGTGATTGCATTTTCAACATAGATTCCCTGTCCAATGCTACTTCTGGCCAGTGACTGCTATGCTATTTCTCCTTGTGTCCTTTCCTGCTTTTGCCTATCACATTGAAATTGCCTCTGCCTTTTCCAGGGTCTTCTGTTCAGTGGAATAGTCCATTCTTGTTCTGTCTTAGTTTTGTCCTAATTATAAACCTGCACACAGGATGGTGACATATTATTTTCCTCTGATAAGCACATGCTCCCACAAAGCCTGCCAAGCCATGAGAGATGATAAATGGTATCAAGCGCCACAAGTAATTTAAGATTGCTGTTGTACTTACAGCAAAACTCCAGCAGATGGCAAAAGGATCCAGATTATTTCTCACCTGATACTTCTATGCCAGACTATTGTGCTAATGATATTGAATTAATATAGTTTCTTCCAAACAATTTATTCCATATTCTTACTGATATATATCTTTCTAGTTGGGCCTCTTGTAAAGGACATTTTATCAAACTGAATTTATGTGGGGAATGGTAGGTAGGCAGAATATAATTACCCCTTGCCTTCCTGTCCATTACAGCTGCATTGTGGCGTGCGGCTGAACTAGAGTACAGTGAGCACAGGATGTGTCAGAAACGGCTTCCCATCAGAAATTGACACTGAGAATGTACCATTTTTTGTCTCCCAATCAAAACATGCATTCCTTTTTTCATGGGCATAAAGGTAGTAAATTAAGTAAATGTCAGAATTTGCTGTACCTTATCTTTCCACATCGCTGATCCAGGGGTTGCAAATCCTGTTGGATGGTAGCTTCAGTGCCAACATTTGCAGCCCTCAGCTGTATTCACTGGATTTTAATTTCAGAAGTGCATAATAATTTCTATTTCAATATTTCAAAAATGTACAAAATATTTTAACTAAAATAATTATTAAACTTAAAGTTTTATGTTGTTTGTCACAGGTACATTAAAATATAAATTTGGTAAACATTAATTTATATTTCAACTGCAGAATTTCAAGAAACTGAAAAAATATTTATCTTAAAATTATTAAACAGTAAATTTGAGTTGTTTAGTCGCATGTATATTACGATATACATTTCTATAGCTATCACAACTCTGTACACTTTGTGCAGTTCTACTTTTTCCACTTATTATTTAAGGTGATATTTTGAGTGTTTCTCTCCAGAAGACAGGACATGTGCCCAATTGCAGGATTCATACACTACCTTAGAAAAGTAGTCAGGTGTCATTGTGATGGGTTTGGACACAGAGATCCCCTTGGGACTGTCACCTGACGTGCTGAAATTACCTCTGAGCCTGTTTTCCCTGCCAACTTGGGACTCCAGAACCCTGCCTCATTGAGCCAGACACACTAACCTGCTGCAACACAGACCCAGGTGTGGTCCACGCCCCCAAAGCTGCAGACTTTAACTAAAAACTGCTCAGCAAGTTACCTATCTCCAGCACCCAGACACCCAGCTCCCAATGGCACCCAAACCCCAAATAAATCCGTTTTACTCTGTATAAAGCTTATACAGGGTAAATTCATAAATTGTCTGCCCTCTATAACACTGATAGAGAGATATGCACAGCTGTTTGCTCCCCCAGGTATTAATCACTTACTCTGGGTTCATTAATAAACAAAAGTGATTTTATGAAGTATAAAAGGTATGATTTAAGTGGTTTCAAAGTAATAACAGACAGAACAAAGTAAGTCACCAAGCAAAATAAAGCAAAAACACACAAGTCTAAGCCTAATACATTAAGAAACTGATTACAGGTCATATCTCACCCTCAGAGATTTTCCAATAAGCTTTTCACAGACTAGACTCCTTCCTAGTCTGGGCTCAATCCTTTCCCCCTGGTACATAGGCGCCGTCTTCCCCTTTGCCCCTTTGCCCGGTGGGCACTCGACCCCGCCCCTTCTCTGCCTCTTCCCACCCCTGAACAGCCCTTGCCCCGCTCCCATTCCGCCCCTTCCCCCAAGTCCCCGCCCCCATTCCACCACCTTCCCCCAAGTCCTCACCCCGCCCTGCCTCTTCTCCACCTCCTCCCCTGAGCGCGCCCCGTCCCTGCTCCTCCCCCTTCCTCCCCCAAAGTCCAAAGCGCCACCAAACAGGGAGGGAGGGGGAAGAGTGGGGCGTGGCACGCTCCGGGGAGGAGGAAGGCTTTCAAGTAACTAAGGCCATTTACAACTGATTGTTTCTGCAGCATCCTTAATGGCCTCCACTTAACATGTTTATATCAGTGGTACAAGTTTATATCTTATTCTCCTAACTCCAGATATAGAAATAATACATGCAAACAAATAGGATGAACACACTTAGTAGATTACAAGCTTTCTAATGACACCATACAAAAAGCATATTCCAGTTATGTCATATTCATAAGCATATTTCCATAAAGCATATGGAGTGCAATGTCAGAGTCATTTTAATTTATTAATTATTCAAAAAAACATTTAACTTAATTCATACACGAGTATAAAATAATATTATTTTACTGAACATTGGCTAGAATTAATTTCTATGAATTTCACTTTCTAGATGGCTATAACCTATAATCACATTATGGCTCTTACAGATGTGTGTGAGGTATTTATTCGTGTGGTGATATTACCACAAGCCTGATCCTTATCCACGTTATTCCACCGTGTCTATATGTTACTGACCATCATATTTGTTTTTAATCTAGGAAGTCATGTTTTATGTTTCCTTAACTGCTCTATTATATGGGGGAGAGGTGTATTCTCCTTTTTCCCTTTACCAACATTAGGAGAGGTGTGTGTGAAATATTTCACTGAATCAAGTTTCTTTTAACATCTCAGTGCATTATTTCAGATAGAGAAGGGTAGCCTCATCTGGGCTTTACACTACACTGTGCCTTTCCCACACAGCTGTAAGAAGGGAATGCTGACCCCAGGGCTTAAATTCTTATAGAGAATTTCCCAGAGCGCCCCCGCCCCCAACATGCTTCCAAAAAAACCCTCCAGGAAGGTTGAAAATATTTCCTGGAGCTCCGCTCAGGACAGCTCTTAAGCCCTGGTTGGGATGCACCATGCAATGAGGAACGCAGCCCCTCTGCCACCTGCGCAGATGCGCCTTATCCTGGCCACCACTGCACAGGGCTCACCCCACATACAGTAACTTTTACCGGCTCTGCCCCTCTCTCTCCTGGGGTCTCTCTCCTCTGCCACCCCCTGGCAGCCCTCTGCCCCTTCTCAACACCCTTTCGCACCCTGTTCCTGCCGTCGCCTATCTGCCCCCTCCTCTCCCTCCCGCCCCCTCCATCTCCCCTTTGCCCCTGGACCCGTGCTGCCCCCTCGCAGCTCCCAAAGCAGATCGTGACGGCAAGGAAGGGCAACGTCAGGGCAAGGCCTTCAGCCGATCGCACCGGGCATGCGCAGATCGCTGGAGCGGCATGCGCAGTAGCGCCCGCTGCACTGACGGAAGGCCGTTTGTGACACTGACGAGTGTAGAAGGCCCGGCGGCGGGGATGCGCGTGCCTCGGGCGGAGTGAGCGGCCCGCGGGGCGGCGATGGCGACGGCGGGGGGTTCGGGCGGGCCCCCGGAGGCGGCCCCCGCGGCGCTGCAGCGGGAGCCCGTGTATAACTGGCAGGCCACCAAGGGCTCCCTGCAGGAGCGCTTCGCCTTCCTCTTCACCAACGAGCTGCTCAGCGACGTGCGCTTCGTGGTGGGCAAGGGCGGCCCGCGGCAGCCCGGCGGCGGGGGGCCCCCCTGGGCCCGGCCAGCAGCGCATCCCCGCCCACCGCTTCTTGCTGGCCGCCGGCAGCGCCGTCTTCGACGCCATGTTCAACGGTGGCATGGCCACCACTTCGGCCGAGATCGAGCTGCCCGACGTAGAGCCCGCCGCCTTCCTGGCGCTGCTCAGGTCAGGCCGGGGCGGGGTTTGGTGGGAGAGACCCGGCGGGGGTGGGACCGGGGGCTGCCGTAGTGCCGGGTTGGAGCGGGTTAGCCGCTGGCGTTGAGTCTTCATCTTATCCTGCTGCCCTGAGCGCCGACAGCAGCTGGCGGGTTGATGCGTGTGTCCTTGCACTGGCCCACGCCCCTCTCTGATCGCTGTGTGGGGCTGAGGAGTGAGTGACATTGCTTGTAAACCAGCCGACTGCAGAAGCCCTAATTATATCCCCTCATGGCTGCTGGTGCCTGGCCCTCTTGTCCTCTCTCCATCTTGCACCTATGCCTGCTTGCTGCTGCATTTTCCTTCGCCCTTCCCAGCCCCCCCCCTCCCCTTTGTTCTCTTGTCACTGATTCATTATCCTTAATGAAAGGTTTCAGAGTAGCAGCCGTGTTAGTCTGTATCCGCAAAAAGAAGAACAG